ACTCTGTGATTCCCTAACTGCCTAGAGAGCCTCTGTGGGTAGCATCTGGATTTGGCTGCTCCACATGCCCAGCAGCATCTACTAACTAGGATTAATGAGTGGCCTGTTCACCAGTGATCCAAAGGAAGTATGCTACATTTACTCCCAACAATATGAAGAGGAGGGCGAGTCTCCTTTGGGGGCACACTGTTTGATGAAACTTAATGATGGCCTTGTGATAAGATGTAATAAATACACGGGGTTGAAAGCTCTTCTACTCAGTCCAATTTAAATGCTATTTTGCCATAAAGTTGAATTTGGGATGACAAGTCGGTTTTGACATTTGAATTACTTGGCTGCTGATGTTGTTATTTGCATAGTTATAAAAATATAATTATATACACATATTTATAATTGTTCAGTTGTCCTTTGAATAACTGCTTTCCTTCCAGGAGAGCATGCCATGTAGAAAAAACGTCTCAGACTGTTTATTTTGCAAAAATGAAGGGATTCCTTTGCATGAGAGGGGGAGGGAAAACAAAAGAAAAAGAAACCCAACAACCTCCACACGATTAAGCCTATGTGCCTTTCTATCTTATATAAACGGTTGGCTATTAAGTTAGACAAAACTTCTCCATGTGGGCTCAGCTTCATTTAGGCATTTGGATTGTATTTTGCCTTTGTGTCTAAGTGAGCCCTGAATGAAACCTCAGCTAATTTCAAATTCCCTTTGTCATTGTGGGTTTTCAGCCAAAAGTCTATAATAAATGGTCAGAAGATGGGCTGAGACTGAATGAATAGTGAACGGTATTCATCAGCCAAACATAGAGTCCAGATCCAATTATACGTATTCATTAAGTGATAATGATATCATGGTCTTTAACTAGGAAGAAAAGAGTGTAATTGAATAATAACAGTTGTACAATCCCAACGGAACACAGTTTCCATCCCAGCATAGCGACCCTTGGGGATGAGGCAGGATTGATGGAATTCTATTACTCTTTGATAGATTTATTATGAAGGGCTGAGTGGAGTTGCTCCTCCACTTTGTCACTCACACTAATCAGTATCGTAAGGCCCCGAGCGTACAGGCTTTTGTATCCCTTTGACAAAGACAAGGTTAGGGGAGGATGACAGACACCCAGACCTTTACAAACCCATACCACAAGATGAAATGGGCCAGCTGAGCTCTGTGCTGGGACAGAATTTTAATTTGTTTATCAATGGCTCACATGGGCAACACCATAAGGATATTTGTCAGAAGGATAACACTGAGGCTAAACTCTTTTGTTTGACAAGTGGAGCTTGGGAAAATATTTATTGAACTGTAAAAATCAGGGGGAAATGAAAGAAAAGGTGGGGTGTTGTTTTTGTTTTGTTTTAAATCTAAGCCAAGTGGAAAATAACTCACATTACTGTGCATGAAATTTAAAGGTGTTGGTGTTTCCTTTTCTTCTCCTTAAAAAAAAGAAGCTTTTATCTATTATATAGCGCAACTTTGTTTTTCACTTAGTGCATTGTTTATTTAAATATTCTTGAATGGAATGAAAAAGTGGGTGAATGGAACTAACTTTATGTTCTTTGGTTGTTACACTGAATGCACAGTTCAGAGTCACCACCTTTTCTCTGCTAGTCAAATAATAACCATGTATTGTCATAACGGCTAGGAAGTCTGGAACCCACCAATGCTATGGTTTCAAATATGTCCTACACACACAGAGAGAGAGATAGAGATAGAGAGAGAGAGAGAGTTCATCCTCTCTGTGCCCCTTCATTTAGAAATTCAAATGCAAGTGATGGTTTTTGTCACTTTGGCCACCATCTATCCTCAGCGTGTTTGAATTGGGAGAAGAGACAATTTGTTGTGCTGATGCATCCGAGCCAGATCTGCAGCCGTGATTGGCACAAAGAAGGCCCTTGCATAGGCTGCCGCTGCCAGCGTTTGCTTTTCATTTGTGTTTGCTGAGTGATATATACTGGAAGCCTCCTCTTCACGTTGGACTGCTTCCCAGCCCAGTCATATCTGCAACCTGAGAGGAGGCTGTCAGATTTGGCCACCAGGGGCTTAGGGGTTCTGGCCAGGAAAACCTGGCTCACCCATGTAAAATGTTTATGTTGTCCACCTATGTGAATGGATGTTTCCAGGCATTTTGCAAAGGGAAACAGCCCATCATAAATCTAGCCAGCAGCAGCAGCAGCAGCAGCAAAAGGCCTGGCAACAGGTTGTGCAGCTATAGCGTAGTGGTGAATCAGAGGCCTCCAGTTCAAAGCCCACTTTAGTTATACACTTCTTTAAGTGGCTTGTAGCAAGTCACTGTTTGGAAGTGTATGTTCCAGCCTGGAAGATGGGAAGAATAAGAGTGGCCTACCTCGCAAGGTCATTAAAAGGATTAGGATAAAAAGGTGTGTGCTTCCTGGGAGGCCTAGATCTTTGTGGATGGCATAGGTCTTTGGGGAATGCCCTATACTGTATAAAGCCTCATGGGCAGCCAGAAAGCTTTAGCCCTTCCAGGAAGAACTAGGGCAGTTTCCTTTTTGTACAGGAAATCAATAACCTTACCTTCTATTATTTTTTTAAATCCTTTTTCTAGCCTTCCATGCTGATTACGGACTGCAAGAATGAATGCCATAGTTTAACTATGCAGTCTTATGAAATACTCTCCTTTGTATGTCCTGAATCAGACCCAATTTAGGAGCTACTTTCTCCAGCCTTTATCATGTACTCCTTTACTTGCCTTTCTTCTAAGCCAAAAAGATCATGAAGTAGTAACCACTCTTCATATGGGAATTGCTCCAGCCTTTGACTCATTTTGGTTTGCATTTTCTGTACCTTTTCCAGCCCCACAGTATCCTTTTTCAGGTGTAGAAACCAGAATGCTAGGTGTGGATACAACATAGACATTCATGATTCCTCCTTTTCTCTTTTTTCTCTTTTATTAGTGGTTGGATATCATAATGGCTATCCTGATTTTGGATGGAGCATCTCTAATTAAAGATGTAATATTACATCCAAAACAGTTTCCAAGACTCTTCAGCAAGTAGATTCTACCTTCTTTCACATTTATTTTATCTTGAGTGATCCACTATAACAATTTTATATTCCATTTCATATTGCATGAGCAAAATTTTCTAGTTGCATTTTATGCTTTTTTTTCTTGCTCTATATTCACTTGCCTTGGCACTTCTTCTTTGATCACCCTCTCGATCCAAGAGTTTCTTACCTCTCTTTTTAGAATTTTTCTGTCTTTTTAAAAATAGTTGTCTATATTGAAATCTTTGATCCCATGTCACGTTGTGGAACCAAGAATCCATAGCACTATACAAGCTTATTCTGAAAGCCAGTTTCAAGTTCTTGTTGCATATAACATTATTTTATCTTAAGCAAGTTGCTTTATGTCATTTCTGTTCTGACTTCTATCGAATTGTTATGATCCTACAAATTTCAAGGCCAACATGCTCCATACTTCCATTTTGGAACCTGAACTGCATTTCTGGGGCTTTATTTATATATGCTTTCTCAAAGCCATTGCTGGTATTCTGGTGAACTGGCAGTCAGTGGTACACTAGCTGTTCTGGAACACTAGAAGTCACGTGTGCCTATCCTTTTCTGCTATGTGGCCCTCACTTCTTTTTCTGACCCCACAGAGGATGCATAATTGAGAAAGAGCACGACTTACCAAGAGAAATGTCAAGAACCATTGCTTGCAAGGCAGATGCCATTTGAAATGTTACAGAGATTGCCCATGTAAACCCTTCCTAATCTGGCCAAAGGACTAACCAGCTTGTAGGAACTGTGCCTTATAAACAGATGGGCATGAATACAGGCCAAAGGCGTTCACAGTAACATGAGGTAACACTGAGGCCAGGAACATCAATGTATCTTTCTGCCCTAGGCTTAGCCAAGTTGGAGCCTAGATAACAAGCAAGCATCAGGCTGTGATAGATGTGGTATGAAGAGGAGATGCTGGCAATATTCCTCAGCTGATTTATTTGGAATCTCTTGGAATCAATAGGAAGTACTTCCAAGTAAACATGATTAAGATTAGGCTACAAGTGGAGATGTGTTTATTTCAATGCTTCCATCTTTGTTCGGACATTCAGGACAAAAACTAGTGAGAGAAGCCAGACCAACACTTTTTCAGCCTGGCTGAGCTTAGAATGTTTTGGCTGGTTATGAAACCTGTTCTGTGCAACTACTCAGTAAGCAATGGCTCATTTGAAAACAGTCATACACAAGCGCACAGGCAAAAGTTAAGGACTTTGAATCACTTACCATTTCCTGGAGGTTCTACAAATTAATGTTTGGAAAATAGAAACTGATTTGACTTCTTTTTTTAAAATCACAGACCCAGTGTTGCTTTTGATATGGCACAGACTTCTCTCTCTCTCTCTGCTGGAATTTCTCTCTCTCTCTGCTGGAATTAAAGCAGTATCATAAACAATATTTGTAACCTTTCTTGTGTGTGCAAAAACATTAATTCTGGAGGGAAAGTCACCTCGAAATGTATTTATTGTGCATTTCAAGAATGCACACATAAAGTTGTGATTAAAAACTTAATTCCATCCAGATAGGGAATAAACATAAAAAGGGACATATTTGGATGCTAGCAATGGTGGTTTTTGTTTCCAGCTGAAAAATGTTTTTTAAGCAAATGTAGAAGGCTTTCTGTGAAAAATGTCATCAGGCTTTACACGTAAACAGCCAGAGAGGACAACTGAAAATACATGCTGCATCTTTGTAATAACTTTGATTACAACAAGGAAATCAGCGGCTGGAGCCACCTGCTTATTTTTGCTCCTAGTCAGTAGAATACACAATATCTTTTTAATTTCAAGTCAAAAAATGCCTTTTGATCTAGAGTTGTAATACTTTTTGTTATTTATGTTATTACTGTAGGATTAAAAGTCGAAGCAGAATTGGCACCAGAGATTGCCAGACATAATGCTCACCATTGCTTCTAATCCGGATCCACCTCCTTGTCACCCCCATCACCGGCCACTCACTTTTCTTCTCTCTGTAGATCTAATCTGCGCTACTTTCCAGACCCAGATGGAGGGAGGAGGGCAAGTCAAAGCTGTTGCTCTTTCGTCTTGCCCTTATTACTGCCTCAGTGTGACAGTGAGATGTACAACAGACGGAACATGGAAGTTGCTTAGGTGAGACATAGACTTTTCATAAAAATTACAGTACTTTATCTCCCTTGATCTCCAGGTCCTTTTGCAATTGTCATACTATTTTCTACCAATCCAGTCATCATAGATTATCTATATGTGAACTTGCTAATAGAAACTTTGGATACTCTGTGTTTCTCCTTATCCTCCTTTCCTGTATTTACCAACTTACAGTAAACAACAAACATAACAACAGAAAGGTGGAGAAATGTAACACGTGATTTATGGTAATCTTTTTCGGGGTTTTCCAGGTACAGAAGTGATTTACTTTCCCCATCTTCTAGGGGCACTTCTGAAGCTGCACATGTTGCCCAAGGCTATCCAGTTCTGGGTCTTCTGGGACGCACAGTGGGGAACTGAACTCCCAACCTCTGGCTCCATACCTAATTCACCAAACTATTTAGCCAATTGGAAAAGTATAACTGCTCTCTCTCTCTCTCTCTCTCTCTCTCTCTCTCTCACACACACACACACACACACACACACACACACACACACACACACACACACACAAAGTGGAGTTTTTGTTTCTCTCTTGATCAGACTCTGGTTCTTTGATAAAATGATTGGTGAAATAAAATGTATGAAAGGTTGAGATCTGTTGTTTTAGATCAAGCTACAGACCCATCCTGCTAAGGTTGTGTCCCTCAGCAGGTGTGTTACGATGTCCAGCATCACGTGACTTTCATTAGAGGAGACCTCAGTAAGCATTAAATGTACTGTAGCTATAGGGCCAGTTTTATGTTCCTGTTTTTAAGATAAAAAGGAAAAAAGGAAATTCACAAAGCATTTTCTGCACTACAGTACATGCAAAAATACCCTCGTAGATTTCCCACTTATAATGTTTGTTATGGAACACTCTTCCTTTTCCTAGTGCATTGAGGAAACACATTCGTCTGGCTAAGGGCTACGGTAGTTCAAATGCACCATTATGGCTTTGGTGGAGATGGCAAACTGTTTTGCTACTCCATATGCTAAGTCATTTCTGTCAGACGTCCCAGACTATGGATAGGGCTCATGATTTCCATAAAATCCACGGTGATTTGGAACTTGGCTTTCTTTTGTTGAAATTGCTGTAGCTGTCCAGGCCAATTTGCAGGAGTCAGCAGGGAAAAAGGCAGAGGGCTCGGTCCATGCTGAGCTCCAACAGCAGAAGTAGCCTGGAGGTGCTAACAAATGCTAATTGGCAATTCCCACCTCTTTTACTCTTCTTAAAAAATTATTCTCCTAAGTGCCCTAGTGAAATCCTGTGCCAGTCCAGAGTTGAAGCTTTTTTTTTTAAAGAAAAGAAACATTTTGGAGATGAGGGGCCCTGGTTTGTGGGGAACTGACACTCCTGTGAGCACCTCTTTGCATTGGATCAGTGGCCACACAGGCAGAAAGTGGACAAAAACAATGTCAAACTGATCAGGACGAATTAAGCCACCCCTGCCAGCTGAACGACAAGAAGAAAACAGCTCCCTACCCCAAAAAAGATGATTCCACAATGGGCTTCCTCATATTGAGCTTTATGTCTTAGAACTGCAAAGCTGGAAGGGACCCTATGGCTCATCGAGGCCAGCCCCTGTCAAAAAGGCACGGCGGGGAATCGAACTCCCAGCCTCTGGCTCCACATCTTGATACCTAAATCACTGAACTATTGTAGCCACTGGGTTTAAATTCAAAATCATTGGAGCCAAATGTGATGCAATAAATGGCCAAGGCAGCCATTTCCTTAATGGGCTTTGTGAACTCTGCCAAATAAGAGGGGCTAGGTCTTTTTCTTTGTGTATTGTGGGGATTTACTCCCCATAAGGCAGCAGAGTGTACACTAGCTGACTTATCTCTGAACCATGGCAATGGTTTGAAAAGGTAAAGCTGAGAGTACACCGAAGAGCCATTTGTCAAGAGCAATTGCAAGCAGTCCAAAACTGCAGGCAGAGTATATGAATCATGATGTAAAAATGGTGAAGCGCAGGCACTTAGACCAGTTGTGGCAATACTGGGACACAGCCTAGCCATGGCATGATTTACTAAAGCTGTGTGCGGAGGGACAAGTGCAATGGAGAAAGAATTAAAGTTTGCCTTTGTATCTCATGAGGCATGGGGAATTTAATTTGACATCACACACAATTCACAACTTTAGAAGGAAGGAAATGGTTGCACTTCAAAAGAAAGGCCCCTTTTTGATTCTGGGTATTATTATTTTTTTCATTCCCCACCTGCAAAAGTGCATGTGCAAATAAAACCATCGAGACGAACAAATTAGCACAACAATATTTTACATGGGTAAGTATGGAAGAGGTAAATGGGAACATTCCATCTTTCTGAAGATATTGTTTCTGGCTCAGATCAATGTTCTTTATCGTAGAAGCTTTCAGACCTACCTAGCCAGTATATTCTCTCTTTTGATGACATCCAAAGTGGTGCTCAGCTCCCGTGAACTCAATAGGCAAGCCACTGTCTTTTGGTTGCTGGACCTCTCTTCATCCATAAGGGGAGGGAAAGCCCATTTCAAAAAATGGCTGTAAGCATTATTCTAACATAGTCCATCTGAGCCCTTTGAGCACATAAGCAAACAATAAATACAACCCCAATTCAATCTTAGCCTGCTGCTCCTGCAGGAGAACGGAATACAGTGGTGCCTCGCTAGACAGTTACCCCGCATGACAGTTTTTTTCACTAGACATTGACTTTTTGTGATCGCTATAGCGATTCACAAAACAGTGATTCCTATGGGGGAATTTTGCTGGACAATGTTTGGTCCCTGCTTCGCAAACCAATTTTCGCTAGACAGCGATTTGACAGCTCCCTCCATGCTTGCAAAATGGTTGTTTTCAGGACTTAAGCTTTGCAACACAGTGATTTAAACAGCTGATCAGCAGTTCGCAAAGCGTCTTTCCTATGGCTGATCTTCGCTCGACAACAACGATTCTTCCCCATTGGAATGCATTAAACAGGTTTCAATGCATTCCAATAGGGAAATGCTTTTCGCGAGACGATGATTTCGCTAAACAGTGATTTCAGTGGAACGGATTATCATCATCTAGCGAGGCACCACTGTAATTTTTTTTTAAAATGCAGATGAAATCACCAGCCTTTGAATAAAGCTAGGCTGCTACCAAGCCTGCAAGAACCTTTGCATTTTCTGTCCATCACATGGCCAAAATATCTCTGGTCCCACAGGGAAAGCTGCACAAAATGCTTCTTAAAGCTTTGAAAGAAAAAAGGACACTGTACATTTGTAGGGATTGTGGTGGAAATAGAGAGGTACAGTGGTGCCTCGCAAGAAAAAATTATTTTGTTCCTAATTTAACGTTGTCTTGCGAAAAATTCATCTTGCAAAATGTGTTTTCCCATAGGAATGCACTGAAATCTAATTAATGTGTTCCTATGGGCAAAAAAAGTCAGAACAAAGTCAAATTTTGTTTACAAAGGGTTTATTAAGTGCTCTTTAAAATTTCCATGAAAAAACTTTAACTTTTTAAACATCATAGAAAAACATTTATAAATCAGCAAACATGAGGCAGGAACAAAAAAATGGAAAATATTCGTCTTGCGAAATACAGCCATAGGAACATTTGTCTTGTGTGTGTGTGTGTGTGTGTGTTTGTCTGAAAGTATGCATACTTGTGTGTTTGTATATATTCCTAGAAGACCTGGGATGTGGAAAATTTAGAATTCTTTCCATTCAAAGTGGGAGCAGCAATATTGCTAGACCAGTGGGATGTCTGTCACTTGCCCTACCAAGTAGCCAGCCTTGCTGGCCTCTAAAGCTGGCTCTGAAATGGACAACATTCAAGGCTTGGAAAAGTTACTTTTTGGACTACAGCTCCTCAAATCACCTAACCAACAAAGCCACACTGGCCACATGGTCTGAGGAATTCTGGTCTTGAGGATTCTGGGAAGAGAATTTCTCCAAGCTCTGGTAACATTTTCCTTGGTTGCTGGAATCACTCGGCACTTTTTATCATTCTAATCCTTTCCCACCACCAATAGCACTCTGTCCATCTGACACAACAATATTTCCCATCCCATAATACATTGCACTCTACCAGAATGTTTAAGTGCACAATAAAGCTAGAGTTTGGAAAAGTTACTTTTTGGACTACAGAGCTCAGATTTCTCCCACCTACGGGTGATCATATTTACTTCTGGGAGGCATGGTGAAGAAAATACTTCCAACCTTGGACCTCTGAATAAAATATAACCATGTACAGTGGTGCTCCGTTTAACGACGAATCCGCATTACGATAATGTTTTTGCAATCGCAAAAGCGATCACAAAACAACATTTTGAATGAGGGAATTTCGCTGCATGATGATCAGTTCCCTGTTTCAGGAACCGATTTTCACTTCCCGATGATCAAAACAGCTGCCCCTGTCGAGGATCTTCGCTGGACTGTGAGTTCTTGGCCGATTGGAACACATTAACCAGGTTTTAATGTGTTTCAATGGCTTTTTTATTTTCGCTTTACGACGTTTTCGTTCTACAGCAATTTTGCTGGAACGAAGTAACGTCGTAATGTGAGGCACCACTGTAGCTGGATGTATGCCTTACATCACTGAAGTAGTATGCTTGGGCCAAGAAAGTGCCTGTGTAAATTCCATTGGAAAGAAAGGAACTTGTGTGTGAACTTAGACACCCATTTATTTCTGTGAAACTCATAAAGCAGAACTTTGTGCTGGATTGTGCTGATTTCACTCTTATGCTGAGTAAACAGTGATAATTCAGAGTGATTTATTTATCCTAACATGGAAACAATGTCTTTTTTTGTAGTCAGTTTAAATTAAGTGACTGTGGGGCAGATTTAATTTTCAATTAATAAGAGTTATTATAGGATAATTAAGAGCTGATTGATTAGTAAAAATGTTATGGAAATATAACAAGTTCAG